CGTAAATAGAAAGTTATGTAAAATCAGAGCGACATGGAACATGTTAACAGATAAATATATATAAAATATATATAACGCGTGTGACAAAAAATATAATTTAAATTTATCAAAATAATAAATAATTTGTTCTTCTAGAAACTAACTAAATTTAAAATATTTTGCAATGTGCAAACTAAAATTTTTATAAAATCAATATCATATACGATCTACAATGTGTTAAATTTTATAGTATGTATCTTATAGATCCATTATCTTAATAACAATCAAGACAAATTATAAACTCACTCACCGATTCATGCGCAGCAGCGGAGTTGTCATTCTGTTGATCTGCATAGTTGATGATCTGTAAAATACGAAAATAAGTCAAGATTATAGTTGCGTTCATAATGAATATTTATCAAATCATAATTGAGTACATTGAACTTTTAATTCTTTTTGTAAGCAAATATGGAATAAAAGAATTATTGAAAAAGTTTAATTATTAAAATAAAAAGCAATAAATATGTAAATAAATTCTAATAATAATCAATATTAACTAATGTAAATATTTTAAGTCTTTTAATTTACAACATTTTCAACAAATAAATGATTTATTATTTACCGTAAAGTTGCTCCGCCGGCGCCCGATGCTCCTCCTGAGCCTCCTCCTCCTCTCAGTGGTCCTTCGAAGCACTCACATTGAATCACACGCGTTCGCGGCGCATGCATTGCTCGCATGCGTACCTGAATACGAAAATCGCGCGATACTTAAAACGGCACTCCCGACATCACAGGCGAATCGAACCGAATTGTCCAAGCTGTGACGTTACGCGCGAATTCCGTCCGCGTTTCAGACGACCACATTTACCAATTGGGGCACGATTCTCTCAAAACAGAAGGCAAAGTAAAGACTCGAAGAAGATGAGGTGATTAGTCATCCAATCAACCGACTAGATACAAGACATCTGAAAAGCAATCGGTAGCGTTTGACTAACTCCGGTAGCCGTCCTCGACTACCTTCGACAGTCCGGCTATCTGTACAACTAGCGCGCTGCACGTAGAACCGAAGATTGCCCTGCCGTAGTGGAGATTTTATGATTGAAACCGACCTTTCCCTCCCCCGAGCCAAGCCTAAAGTCAAAAAAAATCGTGTCCCAATATTTGTCATACAGCAAAAATGCGTTCATCTATAGATTCGCTATAACTCTCGGCATTAACGGCACTCCCGACGCGCATTTTGTTATACTATACGACGGAACGAATATATTTTGTAGCACCGATTACGCGCACAAAGTTGGTCTGTAAAATAAAAAAATAAATGCAGATTAGTGTTTGAAATAATTAATATTTATAAAATAATTACTGCGCACATTAAACTTTATATATGGCGATTTGAAGCGCGAAGGTTTATCTGTAAAATATACAAATACATTTATACTACAATGACATTCAAAATATTTTATCTAATAAATATCAATTGTTTTTGAAGCACAATTTAAGAAAAGCCTGAATCAAAAGACTGAAATAAGAATTTCATAAGACATTTGGGAATGTCTTTTTTAATAAATCCTTTTAACCAATTTAAAATCAATATTACTTCAGTAAAAGTAGCGAGTAATAAGTTTTAAATTTAAATTTTACTCAAGTTTACTCTTGAGATAAATTAAGGAATATAATTGTATTATTCATCTAAGCCTCTAAAGCTTTGTTATATTATATTGTGATCGGGGGCGTTGCGACCGTCAGAAGTGCCCCTACGCTGGAAGTGGTTCGGGCGCTCCAAGCGCTAAGCAAAAAAAAAACGCCATGCCACCACGCGGTTTTTACATACTTCAAAAATTATCGGGGTCTATTACAATTTTGCGCCCCTCCGAATTTTGCTACGCTGAAGCGTATATTGCGTACTATATTGCAACGCCCCCGTACGTAGATAGCGTGCAGCATGCACAAGCACCTACGATCCTTACGTCGGCATAATATTTTATCATCGATCGGGCCTTGCTCCGATAGTACGATTTATCGCTTGTCTTCGTCGTGACAACGTAAAATTGCCCCGATCGGTTTCGTCTCCATCGAATTCGCTCGGTGTACCGCTGAAAATCCGTGACACGTGATTTCCGCGACGGCGACAACGAATAGGCGCAAATCTGCATTCCGTCATCGCTCCTGAGAACCGGGCCGGGAATTAATTGTCCGCGGAAGATATACGACTTCGGCGACGACTCTCTCGATAATAAGCAGGTAGTTGGTAGCTATTCGCACGTCCTACGAACTCGCGCTCGCGTGGGCCGGCCATTCGTGGATTTTAAAATCGATACGACCTTCGGTTGCAGCGGGCAGCTGCTGGGCAAGATCAAGCGGCGCGCCGATAATGCGGTATCTTTGCGCATGAATTGATAATCGCGTTGCACGCGCGTATAAAAGCGTCGTTAAAAGTAGTAAAAGTACTTTCTACTCGCACATCCCGTGATCCGTCTATATTAAGCTTCAAAGTAAAAGATAAGAATTCTCGAGAGAGCAACTTTCGCAATAACCCACGCGCTTCTACTTCTTTTATAAAGATGCATACACTATTACGTCAGTTACTTAAAATATCTCCGCCATTATGCGTCTAAGCAGCGACATAAAACACATACCGTAATTTGTTTACTAACGGCGGATATTTTTTTAAATATATAAATGCGTTTTATCGAATCGAAGATTTTATTTTTCGACGATTTCAGCTCTATCAATTGTGCCTACAAATCGCATCCATTTAACGCTCGTAAAAAAAAACTCTCTTTTTGAAGGCACATAGTAACGGCTTGTTGCGCGTTCTGGCTTCCTTAGCAGGGGGATTCCTCTTTGGCATCGCTTTCGCTATAGGTATAATCCCGCCGACATCGCCAGTCTCTCTTCGATGCTGCGCACGTGTGATCCCACCTCGCTTCCCATTTCGGCATTACACGTTGGAGCGCCTTTACGCGTGGGATGCCGATGGGCTTGATTTCGGTCGAGCGAACTCAATGAGGAGAAATACAATGCGCCGGAGAGCGCCGGAGTCGCTTGCGAAATCGGGGCAAATCCCTCCGTGAGAACGAGACGAAAGTACGGTGGAGGGAGAAGGGGGGAGACGGTGGATCGAAAGGATTAAGAATGAACGTAACAATAAATTTATCACTGTCTGAGAAAGAAAGAAATAGCCGACGCTGCATACATATTGGAGTATTGGTTCGGAATAGAAACATGTGTCAGGTAAGATAGACGCGATTTTGCGATATCATACTTCGTGTCTTTTCTTCGCGCACTACCTCAATCTCGATCCGTAGATTAAATATACATAGAATGTAAGAATGAAATTGAATACGGAACACGAAGAAATCTGGCGAAGGCTTTAGGGAAAAAAAAATAAACGGCAATACGAAAGAGATGAAAACAGAAAATATCTTTCCGCAGACGTTTAAACGTTTTCTCGATATTGATTATCCATATTACATATTTCTTATCCCTCTAGTCCATTAATTCCTGTATTAGATCAATTTTTACGTGAAAATATATTAATCCGAACATTTTTCTTCAGGAAACTGCAGCGTGAAGCTGGATTTGTGAGCCGATGGTGAAATTAATTTCACAGAGATCTCTATCTTTTTTCACAGACGCGTGCTCTCGTTGTTCCGAACTTTTTTTTTATCGTCGCCGTCTGGAAAAAGTACCGCCGGCTGTGTCGGCTTAATGGTTCCGTGGAGAGGATAAAACGGTATATCGCGCAATTAATCCGAAAGGATCGGCGGAGCGTGTCATAAGAGCTCGTAAACCCAAGAAGCATTCTCTTGCGCGTCCTCTGACGCAAGAAGAAACAGAACGAAGTAATAATAAAAGAGATACAAAAGGAAATCGTGTTATCCGGCTACCAGTCTGAGATTTATCGATCTCGATGAGCGCTAGAATGAAAGAGTATGCAAATCGCTGCGTTTGAGTAATGATGAAAAAGCACTCATGAGTGTTAAAAAAAATACAAGGCGTTATTCCAACAACTGTATTTTTTCTTCGTTCGCCGAAGAGATCGGTATATCCCCGTCGTGCAATCCGTTTCGTGATTAAACAAAGTGCAAGAGAGCGAGAATGTGCCGCTCGTGTCTATAGGCGCTCGTAAAATCAGGAAGAATCCTCTCGGTGGCGCGCGAGAAGAGCCGCGAGACGAAGGAGCCGCTTAGAACCGCCGCGAGTGAAGTAGAGGGAGACGGCGAGACGGACGGATGGCCGGACGGACGGTCGGACGCACGGACGGACAGACGAACAGACGGACAGACGACGAGGGAGACGGAAGGCGACTGAAGGAGAGAGGCGCACAGAAAACGGGTCCACGGCTGGGTGGAGGAACTAGTCTCACCTAGTAGATCGCCCTGTCGCGGTGTGTGCTTTCGCGGGCGGCCGAGAGACGCGAACGAGAGTAGGAGGAGGGAACGCGAGTTCCCTTCTACGCGGCGCGAGAGAGGCGGAAAAAAAAAAAGAGAGGCGAGAGAGCACGCACACAGACGTACGCGGGAGCCGTGCGGCCGCGGGAAGTAGTATACGTGCCTCGCGTGTATGCACGGCGTGTGTGCACCGGGAGGAAACGCACGTACGTGCAGAAGGAGTCGAGATAGCCGACGAGAGGGACGGAGACGGAGAGAGAGAAAGAGAGAAGCGAGGGAGACAGGCTGTGTGTATGTACCATCAGAAGAGTGTACCAGGCTACTAGTGTTGTGACGGCGATCGTGCCCACGACTTCTCCGGCGGGCCGGCATCCGCGTTCTATCCGTCTATCTTCCTTTCCGTCGCGCCCTACCTGATCCCCGACGTCGCGTCGGAAACCCTCCGTTCCCCCTTGCCCTCGGGAGCCCCCTCGGTATCCTCTTCCTTGTCGAGAGCGACCCCTACTCCCCCTTCGAAGCTTTCTTCCCTTTCCTTTTTGCTTATAGTTTTTTCTCTCTCTTTCTCTCTCGCTTCCTTTCTCTTCCCGCGTTCCCGGTGCAATTTCGCGGCACGCGTCTCTACTTCCGGCCGAAAAGTGACTTCTCGGGCGGCGGGCCTCTCAGCGGCGCACCAGTACAGTTCGCCGCTTTGACTGGGAATATACGCTTCGCGAGTGTCGTCGTACAATATCGCGCGTTGATTAGGCTCTGTTGTCCACGCGAGTGCAAGTGTTCTGGAAACGCGCACCACGTGCTGCCGCGACATCATCGTCGATGGGTACGTATGCGACTCTCGCATCGCAGTATGTCGAGATCACCCACGTTTACGAGCGGCGAACGTGTTCGTGGTTAGAAACGCATCCCGCGATGCGGAACGTCGCCCGAATGGCGCATTATCTGGATCTTACGACTTTGGAAGCTGACGAGTCGAGTTACAACGTAGCCACGTGTACGCGCTGCATCCGCAGAATCCTTAAGTTTATCTTTTCGATTCGTATAGTATAGTAAGGCACGCTAAATCACCGACATGGAAACGTGAGTTGCCGATAAAAATGCTCAGTCAGATCGGATGTCTTTGATTCCAGTTAAAATAGCCGCACACGCCGCGTACTTTTATATTACGACACATCTATTAATTTTTTTATTGATTTATCAGAGAAAAACGTATTTTTTGTTGCAAGTTGAATTTACCTGGTTTTAATATTGCTTGTCTCGCTCAACAACGCGATTTAGTGATATTTAAAACTGTGAAGTGTAACGTTGTTATCCCAAAGGAGTGATTTACGTTTCGCGTTACCATACGCAGTGTCAAAAATGCATAGCAAAAAGTGATTTACCCTCTTTCACACCTCAATGTGAAACGCGGTGAAAAAATTCGGTAACGGTTCGGTTAACCGCGCGCGACGCGGATCGAGCGAATCCGCTCGGAAAGTAACAGGTTCCAGGCACGCTTTTTACGAAACCGCTTGACTCGCAACGCGGAAAAATGTCCATGCCGTCAACGGCCTCGTTTATCTCACGTCAGACAAGAGAATAAAAATTGCACGGTGCCGTAGCCTCACGGTGGGCCGTTCGGGTCGCGAGTTTCATCGTGGCGCGCCGAAGTACCGTGCGAGAAGATAACGTCTTGCACGCCGTCCATAAATCTTGACGCGGGGGATTACGTAAACGACGTCCATCTTAAACCGCGGGCACTCCGCATGTAATAAGCGACCGCGAATTTTCCGACGGAGGAATTCGCGCGGCACGAATTACATTCCGCGGGCAGCAGACCTTCCATTAGACGACGCCACGAGTGAATCGTTCGAGCGCTGATTTATTTACGATATGTGTGAGCACTTTCAGCTTGCGCAAAACGCACGTATAACACACCGGCACTACTGTGCGTGCGATTTCCCCGAATAAACCTCTTCGTAACTCGTGAAGCTTTACCAGCCCCCACAATGTAATGTCTTCGTGATCGTATTTCACGGGAAAAATAATAAACGTTGTACAAACCGACGATAATTAATCGTGCGTATCGATACGTCGCTTATTCGTTATCGTTGAAAAAGCTGCCGGGTGAATGATTTCCATATATTGTCCGATTCGATCTGCGCGCCTTTCGTCCTTCGACTGACGTCCATTTTTCATCGGATTAATAATTTTCCACGAACGACAACGATGCCTAGATTCGTATCGGCGGCTAGTTATCCACGAAGTCGCCCGACATGTTTTTCTGCGCGACAGAAAGCGTCGCCCGAGGAAATGTATCACGCGTCACGGATCATCTGCGATTTTACATTGACACGTACGCTTAATGGAGCGAACGCCGTGTATTCATCGAACGGCACGCCCGCGCCATGGATAATATGCGATCTCAATCGGTCGCGGCTACAAATCATACACGGCAGCAAACGAACGACAAATAACGGATAAGTTTCGAGATTGAACGTGATTATCGAAAGTCAATAAATATTTCCCGCTTGTAACAGCCGCTTTTAAAAATTATCACCGCTGTTCTTAAATAAACCGTACGCGAGGTTTTAAAACCATAACCGTAACCCAAGATCCAATTTACCGCTCGCATGTTTAATTCTCAATCATCTGACCAACGCGGAGATAGCATATTAATTAATCCAAATGGGTCAGCATTATTTGGCGGATGAAAACCCACTATTTGCGCATCGTATACCTTTCATGCGGAGTGCCGGATGCAGAAAAATGGACTCACTCTTACGTCATTATGTTGTTACACGTATCACGATAATGATAACCCAACAGCGGCGCAATACATCGGCGTGTTCGAGGAGTTGCATATCAAATCGAAAGTCAACAACTTACGTTGTAGTTAATGCGAGACTTGTTTCAACTCTCCAAAGAGAGCCACATAATTATTAAATCGTTAAGGGGGCCATACACAGACAAGTACATACATCGCTTTTCGCGATTGCACGAGGATGGCTCTTTGATGTTTAAATTATCGTTAACACCGAGCTCGATAAAACGTGATAGTTCATAAATAGCAACGATCGTTCTTATTTCGCGGTGCTTTATAAAATTTTCAGTTAAAGAAAACAAAGATAAAGACTTACCGATACGCAGCGCAGCAGCGGAGTTGCACAAATGTTGATCTGTAAAATACAAATATATTCAAATTATAGCAGCGTCCAAATTGTTTATAATTTAAAAAATAATTTTTATGTGCATTTAATTTTTTATTTCTTTTTTGAACAGATATTTCATAAAAAAATACATATAATTTCCAAAACACTTCTTTTTATACACATATTTTTATTAAATTTGATATACAAAAATCTAATTTTTATGTAATATTAAAAAAATATCTGAAATTATTATATATAAAAATTTTAAAAATGTTGAATATATTTAATATTTCTAAAAATATTGTATTAAATATTCTAAAATAATTTACAAATTACTTAAATTTTAAAGTAATCTAAAATATTTTATATGTATACATCATATTACACACTGAACGTGTGTGTGTCATGCGACCAAAGCAGGAATGAACAATTATCAAGGAAGGAACAGATAAATAATAAATTACTTACTCTACAGTTGCTCCGCCGGCGCCCGAAGCCCCCTGGGCCTGCTCCTCCTCTGAGTGGTCCATCCGTGGCACAAACCTCACTCGCGGACATGATTAATTACGATCGCGCGCGTATGAATCATTAGAATTCGACGACCGACATTTTATGGCACTCCCGACATTAACGACACTCCCGACGCGTATTTCATCGTATTAAAACGGACGAATTACGCGCAAAAAATAACGACGACTTTTTAGCATAAACACTGATCTGTAAAAAGCAAAAACGTACAAATTAAATGCGATAGTACTCAAAATAATTAATTATATTTCAAAAATAGTTATTCTAATATTTTAAATTTTGTAAATATTTCTTAATAAATATTCCAGATTGTTAAAATAACATGAAATATTTTATTGTATACGTTATATTACAAACTAAATGTGTCATGCGATTGTTGCGCGAGAATAAACAATTACCAAAAGCGAGCAACAAATAATAAATTATTCACCGCGCAAACTCTACAGACGTGACTACGATTGTATTTTCTAATTAAATATATCTCAATGTCGTTGAACTTGGAATTTATTTATCCCGTATCCACGACATTCTGTTATTTAGTAGAAAGAACGAAATAACTCTAACAATTAAATATTGCGAAATAATTATTGCTTGTAAATATCACGGTAAAACAATAATATTCGTAATTTCTATTCTATCGTTTTGATTTCTATTTTACATAAGCAGATAAATTATTATTACAGATACGTTATTTATGCTTACATGTCGTCAATAACGTCGATTTAATCAATTGCAGAAGCTAACTAATTACAAAAACTAATTATTCGTAGAGAATAATCTTGTTTAGTATATTTAGTTGCTATTGTGATCACGATTTAGGAGACAATAACGCGGTAACGCGGACGTACACGAGCGATTCCCACCGCTACCTTCCTACTCGACCGTCGTCACGTAAATACGCCAAGAATGTGATGGCGCGGATACATAACAACATACTAAGGTAAACAAAAACTGAGTGTCGCGCGGAACCGTCGGACAATTCCCCGAAATATCTAACGCGCTATGAAATATTTCTCGTATTATGAAATGAAATATATCCTGTCTTTCAAACGTTTCAAAATATCGATAAACAAGCTCTGTTATTACATGTTTTATACTCTTCCCTCGTTAGAAGTCTATAAATCTTCGTTTTATAGATCCTCGTTAGCGTCTAGGATCAGGATCTACTCGATTTAAAAATCTTTTAAAAACCTAACGAAGATTGTTACCTGAACTTTAGTTCGGTTCCAGTCCTTGAACATAAAATTATATTTTGTAAAAAATATTCCAAAACTTACTTCAATAAAGTCAATATATTTTTCTTTTAATAAATTGCCGAGCTTAAAAATTTGATATACAAAGTATTTTTATTTTACATGATAGTTTACTTGATTGTTCAACTAATGAATATAATTATCATTATAAAAATTAAATTACTGTGTAGGAAAAATTACTATTAATTACTATTACAAATTACTGTTCCAACAAACTCTATTTCTTGCTTCTTGCTATCTTTTTCCCCGTAAAACACGATGGCATCACGAAAACCCGCATAAGGATAATGCCAGTTAATGGATGCAATTAATTTTGAAAAGAATAAATAATCTTTTTGTACCACTTCGATTCATCATTCAAACGAACAAATGAACGTATCCTGGTATCGGCGTCTTGCCCGTCTCTTCGCTCTTATGTTTGCACAACCGACATAAGTCATGCGTTTATATTTGCATACCGACAATACATACATCGGCAATCCGTTTTCGCGATTGACACATTATATTAACAAT